GGGTGGGAAATATGTAGGAAAATAAAAAAGACAACACTGGCAGGTGAAAGAGGGGGAGAACATGTTTCTTTGGACACTTTTGAAGGAGAAAACCCAAGTACCTCACTACAGCCATTACTATTTTTAGAGCTTTGGGTCAAGAAATTCTTGGCCTAAGTGTCAAATATCCACCCATCCAAAGACTTCCATGACTTGCTGCAGAAATTCAGACACTAAAGATGATGCAGTTTGGTGCGTTTTACAGTTGCTTTTTATTATCCCATTAATTAAGGGGACAATTTTCATGACAGACAACTAAGAGGCTGTAAACTGCTTCTGTGGGCAATTAAAGGTTGGATTACAGAAATAATTTGAAAGTACAACTCAGTATTGGGGAACACAATTCATGAGATAGAGAAAAAAATCCTCCAAAATATAGAAATCCTGATTTCATGTAAGGCTTGAGGAGCTTGGCACTAACGTCTGGGCTGACAGCAGGTTAAATGAGTATTTTTTGGAGGATTAGGATTGAAACAAGAGAAAATGAAGCAGGCAGCAGTTTGAGCTATGTTTTTTTGAAGAAGCATGTTCACATGCTGCACTCTGCAGATTTGCCCCCCAAGATCTGGGCCAGGCATCAAATCCAGCTGCTCCCAACTACAGGATCAAGCTCTAAGCCTGTGAGTGGCAAGCTGGGGCTCTGGGGACTGCAGACAGACTGCCAGCCAGTAGGGCAGTCACTGCACCACGATTGCACCATGGAGAAATCAGGGCCACAGGAAAGAAAGTCATCATTAATGATCAGTCAGCTATGTGTGTCATCTCCCCCTGCCCCAGCAGAATTCCCTCCTTACCTCTGGCAGTAATTGCAACACCACTTGCAGAAAGGTGATGGCATTTCAGAAGTCCACAAATGGGAAGGTCTGGAGCTCTGCAGAGGCTGGCAGAGCCAGAGCTGGGCCCTGGCTGAGCTTGGAATTCTGTGATTCAGACGCACACAGGCAGCTTTTTAGAAGAACTTCACGATTTCTGATAGAACAGCACCAAAACTGAGCTTTTTAAGGAAACACTTGTATTTTTTGTTGAGTTGTCATATTCCAGCAGAAATAATTTTCCAATCAGCTAATTATTTTTAAGGGTGAACTGCTAACTGTCCTAGAGAGGAACAGCCAGGATAATAGGGCTACAGTCCTGTGTACAAGCACAACAGTTTTCCCAGCACTACAGGCAACATAGCCCAGTTAGGAAGAAACAGGAGAACTCGTGTACCATCATGTGTTAGTGCATCTCCAGCTCAGAGAGGCGAACCTTTTTCCTCAGAGTGACAATTCTGGATGACAAAATTTAGGTGCTGAGAGGCCCACTGTGTGCAAGGGCTTTTTCCCTGATTGTATTTGAGTTTCCTGCTTAGTCTCCAGCCCTGCTCACTGTCTAAATCACCAGCATAACCCCCAAGGCAGTCCTTTCTCAAGCTTTCAAGAACACTTTGCTCCATTCCACACACACTGAAATGGCTTTCCAGGATGTGCACGGATAAAGACAAACTCCAAACTTTGAATTCAGGTTGTGGAAAAGAGCATTCTTCCACCAGAGAAGGCAGAACATTTTTTAAACACAAGCTTTACACCCTTCTCACACTCACACCTTTTGCTTTGATGGAGATGTGGCAGGGCTTTGCTGGTGACTTCTCTTTGTACATGAAAACGTTAGAAATGCACAGGCTATGGGCTGGAACGTGACTGCCCAGTAAGGCTTTGACTGAACACAAGTTTCTCACTTCACAAATTCCAGGTGCTCTCCCTCACCTTCTTCCCCCACATCCCAACACCCCCCACGGCCCCTCAAAAAACGGGAGTGTTGGCAAAGCTACATTTGTGAAGACAAACTATTCAGGAAGTGAAGGGGGGGTATGATTGCACCATCACTCCCATTAAAAGTTCAGTGTTACCTGAGCACACCCTGAGCATGAGAACAGAATATCTGGAGCTTTGCTATTCTTAGTGCCCTCACGGGTGGATGAATATATTAAAGTTTATGAGGCTCTGGGAGGTTCTGAGGTGGCTGCTGCTCGAGGATTGCAGCACACACAGTCAGATCATCTGCACACGTGGAAGGGAGAGGCATTTATGGAAGTTTTTTTGTAAGAGCTGCAAAGGCCCCCCTTGGTTAATGACATTGTTCAATCTTCTTACATTTCTTCATAGATTCAGGGTAGAAAAGTATTCCCTTCCCCCTCCTTCCCTTTGGTGCTTGTTGCTAGAGGCATCCTGATAATCAGACTAATCTTGGGACCAATTTTCAACTCCTAACAGCTCAGTAAACTAAAATGCTTAGGCAATTTATTCTCTGTATATTGTCAGCTAGGTAACACTTGATTTCTCATTCCATGACTGCATTTTATTGTTTTAAACTGAAATCCAGCATGTGTGTTTCCAACAGATTATCTCCATAATCACTTTCTTTTTGCTATGGAAATGATCTGAAAATTGTTCTTTGATAGGAGAGAAGAGTTCACAAGGCCACACTGTACAAAAGCTGGAATCGTGCAATTATCATTTGTAAAGAGAAACTGTTATCAAAGTAACTGCAGGGGACACCTCCAGGACTCCTCTTAGAGTCAGGAAATGTGAAACATATATTTCTCTAACATGAATTTCACTCCAAACCCTTCTGAATAATTCATGAGAGCTGATTTAATGTCATAGTTAAGTCTGGCACTCAGGACAGAGATGGGGGGGGTTCTGCTGCAGAGGGAGGATTTTGCCCATTCCTTTGGGGCAGGGGGGGACAGAGCTGGGGTCTCATCACTAGGAGGGGTTTGATACCCAGGTGCCTTTAATTTGGGAAAGTCTGATCCCTGTGATGGGCAGGATTGCAGTGAAAGGCTGTGGTGGAAGGCAAAGGGGAGCAGGAACCCCAGTCCCTGTCCCACTCTGCACCCCTAACACTGATCAGAACCAGAGCCACCTCTTTTCTCAAACAGCATCGAATGACGTGCACTGGGATAACAGATGTGACCTGTTCTTTAAAGGAAGAAGGCACTTTGAGATGAGAAAATGCCATTTTGTTCTTCATTCACTAAATGAGAGGAACTATAAATGGTTGGGAAATGGTATTTTACAAAGCACTGTTTGGCATATGAGCAGAGCTGAGAGAGTGAGGCTAGTTTTAATCACCATGTTGGGTGTCCATAGGCAGGTAAATTAGTGAAGGGATGCTCCTGGCTTGTATTTCTTACTTGTAAAAGTAAAGGGGTCAGAGGTAGCTACATCCTGAGGGCTTCTCCTGTGGCTGCCAAATTGCTGCTCTCTCCCAAGCTAGGACGAGTTGGAGAACTAAATCAATGTGGGAGCCCCCTCTCCAGCTCTGGGGACTTTCTGAGCACAGTTGACTTCCATGAACTCAGGATTTCAATCCAAAGGTCACTGGTCTGTTGCTGTGCCAAAGCCGTCCAGGACTCCCATTCCCATCTCACAGCAGATCAAGTGCCATTTGGTGTTGCTGGATTTTTGAAAATGGACATGGGGAAATGAAAAACAACCACTTTGTAGGACTTAGCAGTACGTAATCCCAAAGCACTTTTCTAAAGCCAGGTGCTCCTTTATTTTTTTTACCAGGCGGCAAAACTAACCAGCATGTATTTTGACCAAGGCAGAGGGTGGCCCAGAGGCCAAAGTCCTCCCCCTTAAAAACCAGGTGCTGATGTGTAGAACCAAGTGCTGAGCACAACTTTGTGTGGTTTACATAATTCAAGGCAAGGAGGCTGTCACTGGTACCTCAGACGTAAACCTGATGAGTTAAAATACAAAACTATGATAGTTTTATCCTTGACAATCTCATTTTGATGAAATGCAACAATCATGAATACTTGTTAATTATTCTCTTTGTATTATGTGAGATTTTATATTTAAATGGGAGTAATAAATGTTATTTAGTTAGTTAGTTGCATATATTCAAAAGCCAAAATGTTGTCTTTAAGACACTTGAGGACCTGGGGAAACACACAACTGTGAAGTGAGAAGTTGGTCCTAAAACATCTTGCTCTAAAGCCTTTGTGTATTTCAAAGTTTAATCATTGCCTAATGCTATAGATGACACCTACTGGGCAAATTGAGGCCTGGCACATCCAGCATCCACAACCCCCTGAATACTTGGTTGTGTCCTGAAATTACTGACAAGAACAAACCCTCTTCTCCCTTTGCAATAAGATTTTGTTGCCCCCTTCACATGGACAGGCAATTCCAAACTGCCAAGGGGAAGGACAGAAGCAAAAGCCCTCAGCTCACTAAAACCCAGGGGATAAAAGGTGTCCTTTTGTTTTTGAAAGGAGGGGGTGCCTAAACTGTCCTCCTGAGACTGTTACTTTACTGAAGTCTAAATAGTCCCTCTGTTTCATTAGCTCTGCACAGGAACAGGAAGACCAGAGTATTAGGGAAAACACCACTTACCTTTTTTTAACACTGGTTAATTTTCTTCTGCTCTGCAGGCAATATGATGATAACTTTGTTATGCCACACCAGTGCCAATCAGTGTTAAACAATGAAATAGCAGGGTGTTAGAGTTCGTCAGAGCCACATTAATGGCATAGTTAGAAAGAAAACACTGAGTATCTTTCCTTTATGTTGGCTAATTATTCACATTGGGACTAATATTAGACTTTCAATGTGTAAAAATGGTATGAGTTATATTATCCAAGTTGTTGCTCTTAATGCTTTCTAGAGAAACTTATTTGAAGAGCAACTTTCTATTGACTCGATTCGCAAAATCATGCAGCCCAAACACTTGTCTCAAAATTAGTCTATATTCTGTATTATGCACTCACTGATGCAGCTCCACTGATGAAAACACCAAGAATTTAGAGGGGGGAAAAAGCAGTTAACATTATTGCTCCCCATTTGAACTTACAAGAAGTAAAAAGCTTCCACACCCTTTGCATGCGCAGCTGCGGTGATTAACTGCATAAATTAGGTGTTTGCAAGCATCGTTAGTTAGCTGTCTGCACAACTCAAATTACCCAGGAAACGTTTTATTCTTCATGGTGCTTGTCAACAATTGCCCACACTTTTTTTTGTGTGTGAAACAAGACACTTCAGTATATGGAAAAACAGTTTAGAAATGCTTGTATCTTAAAAACTGATTCCACCTTTTTTATTAACTTAACGGGAAAATTTCTAACAAACTTGTATTCAAATAATAATTAAAAAAAAGAAATATGTACATTCAGGAGTGGTCCAGAACTTGGCTCTGCCCATGCAGAAAATAATGTCACATAGTACTGTCTCCAGATCCCCAAGAAATGACAGACTGGCACGTAGTGTCATGGGGGTTTTTTAGCAGTTTTTGCCAGCTGCTCAAGTTTAATAAGGGGATTCACTCTGACCTGTTGGTCTTTGAATGTTCATGTTCATATTCTTCCCATGTGTTGAGAACACAGAGGGCATTGTACTTCTCCCAGCATCTTTGGTATTTAGGAAGATGTAGAAACTTTACTCTGTATTGAAAATTTTCTTCGCAGGAGAGAGCCCTGAATATAAATGTCCCACCAGCTGAGGCACAGGAGCTTTAGTCCATCCTCCTTTCTGGGAGCATTAAGGTAAGACCTCCCCAGGCACTGTCCGGGAGTTGAATATATTGGTGTAGAAATCTATCAGCAGCTCAGTGAAGAGGTTCAGAGGCACCAGAGCACTCAGGGAGGCAGTTCCTTTCGAGGGCCAGATCAAATTCAAGCCAAAGACACAGGCCAGGCTGGATGCTGTCATTCTGTTATAGATGCTCTCCTGGGAAACCTGGAAAAACACAAACATGGACAGGTACATGCAGATAAGTGGGCCAGACAGGGAGAGACAAGACACCACCTATATTGAGGAGGAACCAAGAGGGGAGCAGACCCTGGGCACAGGTACATCAACCTGAGGGTGTCTGAAGCTTTAGAAGGATTTTTTTTGCTCTCACTGATCCATGACTTCTCTTCCAAGCACCTCCACATCCACCCAATTCCTCTGAAGAAACGGAGGTGAAAAGGGACTGTAGTTAAAATACACAGCAGTGAAATCTGTTCTGCACCTGCATGATGTATCCTACTGCAACATGTGGAGGTGAGCCCAGAACTTGCTTAGCAGGAGTGTTTTTCTCTGTGTGAGCTTGGCAGGGAATTTGTGTGTGCTTTGTTCTCCTGGTACCTAAAGCCCAGTGTGGCCTGGGGGTCCTGCCTGGCAAATTTCTGTTATTTGCAAACAGCCAGCAAGCTGAGTGTGCTCCTGGCTCCTGCTGCCCCAGGTAATTCGGGCAGTTCTTACCAGGCTGATGGGTAAAGTGATCTGTAACCTGGCATGAGAAGACCACAGTCACAAACCACACTCTGCAGGTTACACTGGAGCTGCCATTTCAGAACAGAACAAGGAATCCTTGGGCAAAATCTCCCGTCTATTCTTGCTGCTACAATTTCAAGTGGAATAGGAAAGCAAAAATTCCACTTCTTAGTGCCTCTCCATTTCTGTCTTGCCATAAAGCTTCCTGAAAAGGCAGCTCAGTGGTAGTACGAAAAGCCTGAGGACACAGAAGGAAAAACTAAGAAACATCATGATCATAGGAATACTTCTTAGCACAGGCATAAATTCCAGTTGCCCCCTGCCCAGCAGTACTGGTTTCATTCTCCTCTATCTTCTACAGCCCAGACCCACCTTCCTTTGTGTTTTACCTGGCAAGGAGCCTCTTTGTCCAGCCAGGAGAGGATATAATGCCTTTCAGACATTATTTGCCTGAAGGCAGCTGGACAATGAACTAGTGTTGGGCTACTAATAAATATAATAAGGTTAGAACTGTGTTCCAGCCCTTAAGTGGCTAATAGAGACTTCATGCTGTCTAATGTTCTACATGTGAAACCCCTGTGCACAAAATATTTTTAGTGTTTCTTTCAGTTGAAAGTCTCTGCAGCTTTGTGCTACAGCCCATCACATTGTGTTTTCTGTAGCACAAAAGAGTGCTGTACCCTAAGAAAGGTACCTTAAGGGTACAGGGCAGGTATCCCAGGATGGCACAGAAGCACGTGGTGTAGTATTGGAGGACAGCAGAAGGAGCCAAACCTGTTGCAGTTGACTTCCCCCAGTTTTTGGGAGTGCTCCTGACACCCTCCACCCCACAAGCTGTGTACAGGGTCTGTCTGTAAACAGTGGTTGAATCACACTCAGCCTGACCCAGTTGCTGCTTTTGAAGGCCAAGGTTTCAGCTCAGAGCAACACCACTGACTTGCTGTAGAGCTAGATGGATTTGTTTTCTCTTTAGGCCAACTATTTTAAAGGTTGTTTCCAGCCCCAAGATGAAACCATCCCTTCCCACCCACCACCACTCCGTGAATATTTCAAGCAGACAGTTGACACTGAAATGATCAACAATAGCACCTGTGACACGGCTTCTCCTCCAGCTTCTCCTCCAAGGGAAAAAATCCACGAGACAAAATGGAACAGTGATTTTATCATCTGAGGCAGAGCTGCACTGAGTCTTATCTGTGAGTCATCGATGGGGATGACCGGGGAGCTTGAGGGAGACATGGCAACATTGCTGCACTCCAAAATACACGGCAATCCCTTCCTTCCTCAGCAGATCCAGGGAAAAGTGTGCAACTGAATCTGACTCTCCTCAGGAACTTTGCCTGCTCACCAAAAGCTGCTTTCAAGGAAGCCTTGCCACACCCATGGTTCTGGCTCTAGCCCTCCCCGAGGGGATCAGGCTTCCCAGCATCTCAACCCCCTCCCTACTCCTAGTGCCAGATTTCCTTCTCAAGTGGCACTTCATCCAGATGTTGTGTTCTTCCAACACCGGGTCCTGCAAGGGCAGATGCAGTCACCAAACCTCCTCCTGGGCTGCCCCTCTGAATAACTCACTGCAAAGCTACATTCTAAGAAATACGAATGACAGCATTTGGATCAACCCCCTTGACTCCTTCTTTGATTCCCTCACAAAGTTAGTAACCATCATCTCTGTTTCAGTTGAAAATACACGCTCTGTCAATTTGATGAGCTAATAAAAGACAATTCTCCAAGGGCCTAGATCATATCCTTGAAGGAATCATCTGAACATCACAGGAAAGTATTACAACAAAGAACTACACAGCTCCACTTTGTTGTTTTGGTGGGGTTTTTTCCCCTTTCACTGGAACATGTATAGAAAAATCATTAAGTAATGACAGCCTATATTGAAAGAAAGCCCTTTAGAAAGATAGAACTTGTACATTGAAAAACTCATCATTGGGAATAAACACTGAAGTTTTAGTGTCACATCAAAAAATGCAAAATACATATTTTCACTGTCCCAGGATAAACACCCAGCTCCACCTAGCAAAATTGTGATGATTTTTGATTCCATGTACTTTTATCCCAGCACCCTCATGGATGGAACTAAATGCAGTTTAGGGGTGACTGTGGTGGTGCTAGATTGATGGTGGGACTGGCTGATCTTGAAGGTCAACACCGATGATTCTGTGATTCCTGGATACTGCCAAGACTGAGACCAGACAGCCACTACACCACCCAATGAACTTAAACAGTGAAATACAGTGGGTAAAACAGCCAATCACTACTATCACTTTTAAAAATATAAGAACACCACCATCTCTTTGGTTTCTCAGTGGCAGTGCTGAAAGGAGCTCCACAAAACATTTTCAAAAGAAAATTACTAGATATTAAAACACCCCCACAAACAGACTGAAATACGTTTCTGCCACCCGCTGTCAGCTCCCTTGCAGATGTGCCAACTGCCTGTATCTGCTCCACGAGCCTTAGTCATCTAATCCTTCCCAACATGCCCCATCATCTCCAGCCACCCCCAGGCTTTGCTGGAGCTGATTACACTATTCAGTTGGACAAGCGATTGAGACAAAACATTAATTCACAGCATTTTTTTTTCCAGCTTGCTCCTTCTGAAGCACAGCTCGTGGGCCCCAAACCCTTGTCCATATTTTCTGATTGGTCCAAGTTCGACATTTTAAATTTGGCAAGCTTTTGCAATGGTTCTTTCAGCTCAGTCAAACACCCTTCCCACATCAGGCATGACTGGAGGGACAGAAAACAGCAGCAGGGGTGGAAAATTTAAGCACAGAGAGAGGGCTGTATCAGCTGGTACCAAAACCAAAGCCACAGTTATAAAAACACAAGTTAGGTGATATTATTGCCTCTACCAATTCTCCTCTCTAAGGCTTCTTTAGCTTAGACTGTCATGGAAACTACAATTATTGTTTTCTAGGAAATGGTTTCTGGCTTCAGAACCGGGTTACTGTAGCCCTCAGGGTGCTTTGCCAAGTAATTTTCTTTCTTTGAGCCCTGTAAGTTTGCCTGTGCATTCATAAATCCACTCCATTTGCAATGCAGTGCTTATGGAACACAAACACTTGTGCACACTCACCCCTTCTGAGATCAGCTGAGCAAGCACTGATATATTTTACAGATATAATTCAGGGACTGGCTTGTGAAAGCTGGTCCTTGTTTCCCTCTCACTCCTGGTTGCCCATTTCTGCTGAGGGATCTCAGTCCACAGCAGCTCCCAGAGCTGCAAATCCCTGTCCAGCAGCCAGAGGCACGGCCAGGAGGAGATGAGCTGGTTTATACCTTTCACTGCTGGGCTCATTCCTGGCAAAATCACTGCTGATCTACAGTTAAAGGACTTGGGCCTATTTTGGAAATTCAAGTCTGTTACTTCTGTAGAAGTTGCATTGTCTTGCTCTCTTGGACTTGAAGGAGCTTTTCATTAAGCAAGGGGGTTGAGACTGCAGAGAAAATAGGGATTTTTTTTTCCTCCACAAACCTGCATCAAACTTGGAGTGTTCAAAACCTGTATCTAGTGATTACAATTCATCCCACTTCATGAAATTACCACAAGTACCTCTTGCACTACTCAAGGCTTAGCTCATGGAAGAATTAAATTGCCTCTTGTATGTAGGAAGGTTGATGCTTGCAGGTAAAAACTAGAATTATTGGTGGAGTGGTCTGTTAAAGTTTGAATTGTGGCAGCTTGTGCATCACCAATCTGCAGTGAATAGAAATCTCCAGCTCTGGGATTGTTTCATATTTCCTTGACCTTTCCAAATGCAAATATTTCCTGAGACATTAAGGATGAAAAGCCACGGATCAGCAAAAATTGCAGATCTGAGCACTGGTATCAACTTGATGCTGTGCTTTACATAACAAGGCATACTTAAAAATAATGCTGTGTTCTGTGGCCCAATTACAGCAAACCCTGCGTGGCACTTTTGCACACCTCATTAACACCTCAAGTGCTCAGCTCTTAAGAAATACATGGAGATGGTGCATCTATTACTGGAACAAAGTCACTTACACGATTCATAACACTGAGGACAGATATCACTTGCTAAAATAATAGCAAATGACGTGAGGATTTCCTTAATAGCTTTAGAGTTCAGCTAAGCAGCAGCAAACGAACGTGTGGGTATTACAGGAGCCCTGCGAGCGCTGTCTGAGGGTTGTATCCATGTGTTTATCCTTTAATCTTGCTTTTCCCTGGTGCTTTGACAGTAAACGGGATTAAATGTACTTGTTTCTGCAATAAACTACTGGCTAGGATATGACTGTAGCCCAAGAACAGCTACTGAGGGCCAGTTCCCTCCCTGGTGAAAATCAGCATCATTCCACAAGTCTGGTGTGTTTTGGTGGGCTCAGCATTTCTGAAGGCTGGATCCCTTGATTTAGGCACCAGTTAAACCCTGGCCCTCCATTTTAGGCACCCAGGTTTGAAAACTGCAGCCTGGAAAAGACAATGCCTTGGATAAGTTAGAAGGAAGGGAAATTTAGAGTCCTGTGACTGTCTTTTCCTGCACAGCCAAAGCATGGCTGCAGCACTGTTTGTGAGGGAAGTTCCCCAAACCCTCACACTCGTGGCTTTCCCAGAAATGGGTTAAAAGAAATCAGCAAAACTAAAAGTAGGACTGAAGACACGTGATTTTATTTATCCTGAGCAATAAAAAAAATCCTTGCAAAACAGTACATTCTAGGTTTTTAATTTAACACTGTAGCAAGGAATGGCTATTTTAAGAAGGAAAATGCTATTTTTAAGATTTAATATGAAATATTTTGCTGATTGTTGTTCTAAAGCTTATTAACATTTCTATACTTTTCTAAAATAACACTAATTTATTTGGTGTTTTAGTTGCCCCAGATTTATATTTTTAGGGAAAAAAGGTGATTTCACTGAGGTTTTCTCCAGCACTGAAAATTACACAACCACTATTTTCAGGCTTTTTTTTTTTCATTCTAAAATAGGAAAGAAAACTAAATCAATAAAAACATACATTCTCAGTGTGGAGTGAAGGGAACAGGACTTCTAAATATCCCAGTGCAGGCACAGTTCATTTAAACATACACAGTAGTTTTCATTATATCTAATGAATGGTGAAGGGATGGTCAGACCATTGCTTGGCACCAACTCTTATCAAAATGGGAGGGTTCTGCAAGTCGTGCCCAACCACCTGACCACACTATTTCAAACACTCACTTTTCCCTTGTGTGGAGGTGTTAAATGTGGAATTAACAGGGACAGATTCAGAAAGAAAACCACTTTGGAATTTTTGCCCGTACTCACCATGTGGAGGAAGCACATCAGGTATTTCAGAACAATGTAATTGTGTTCAGGAATCCCTTGAATGATTTGTTTACACCTGGTGACTCGCAAACAGCTCTCCACACCTGCAACGTCAAAGCCACTCTTTACTCCGGACCATCAAAACATCGTCAAGAAATAACAACTTATTTATGCCTGCTGGAATTACGTCTGTAAAACTGGCCACGAAATTCAGCTCTGCTAACAACCACAGTGGCCACAGTGCCAGGGAGGGTCATCCCTTTGAAAGCCTCTATCGTATTTTGCATGATCGTATATCTGGCTCAGACCAGCTTCCAGAGTATTTTCTCAATGCAGTGAAATAGCCAAAATAATTTCTTTGCCTTTTCAAAGGCCTTGATTTGAATCTCACTATCACTCCATGCACTTAATTGAGACATCTACCTTTTATGCTCTAATTTTCTCTTGCCGAGACACAGCCCCGCCCAAAATGACCTTTTGGTAATCTACTAACTTTAATATCACTGCAGGAAACTCTTCTGCTTTGGCAAAAAATTTATGAGAGGGTCACTTGGGTGGGTGAGAATTTTCTAGAGATGAACCTAAGCAGGTTCATTAACTCATTTCTACAGATGGGCAAACCCAGAAGTGGACCCCAAACTTCCTGCATCATCCAGACAGTCCAGGTGAGAGTTACACTGACACTCATATTTCAGATGTTCTACCAAGTGACTTTTTTTAAACCCTGGAATACCACAGTATTTTATTTGATAAATTTACTATTTTTATTATTTAAAAACATTTATATATTTTATTTACTATTTATACATTTATATAATTGTTTATAGATAAAGATAGTGATCTATTTTCATAAAATATGTAATATCACATATAAATAGATAAATACATATTAAAATTTATATCAAATTAAAATATTAGAAATATCACAGGTCATTGTGGTATCTTAAGTTTAACACCAATTTGGAGAAAGGTCTGATGATGGTAATCATACCTAACCTAACCATCTCATTTTTGCTGATACTATTTCTGCATCTGTTGCATTTCTCTCTCTCTCCCTGGGAGTGCACAAGGCTGTGTGTGCATGCACAAAATTTCAGCACATTAAGTGCTTTTAAAACCCTGAATTAAACACATGAAGCTTTACTGTGGTGAACTCGTGGTGACATTTTTTCCTACTGCAAAGCTACCAGCTCCCATAAAACACATTAATCTGAGTCCCAAGAATTTTTTTGTCAGCCTTCTGCAGAGCATATAATGCAGGAATTGTAGCATTACTGGGTAAAAGAAACCTTGCTAGCGGTTTTCATGACCAAAGGTGAAGTTCTTCAACAATAATAAGCTTCAAGGTTCTATTAATTTTTTAAGTCTGTCACTCAGCTCATTTATTTCATGGCTCCCATCAATAACACCTTAAAAAAGAATAATTCAGATGAGACCGTAAAGATAAAATGTTCCCTATCATTTCAAAGTGCTGTAAAGCAGAGATACTGTATTTCTGGGTTTGCAGGTTAAGATATTCAATAGACACATCACACACACATGCTTCCAGGAGACAGAATGAGAATTTTCAAGTCATCCCAAGGCAGCTGTCTGTGATCACACCTCTCCAGAGCTGCCTTCTGCACTGTATTCACACAGAATACCTTTGCTGTGGTTTTTGAGAATGCTTTTGCTGCTGGTATTTGAGAACAACAAGCTGCTTGCCTGGCCCTCAAGCCTAAGATCATTTAAAATCAGGGTATCACCCCAGCATCAGTAAGAGATGGCCATCACACTGCAGGCACATAGGAAAGCCCAAGGAATAATTAGCAATTCCCTTAAACTCCACTTTTTAAAATATTTGGTCAAAATTGAAAGCACGAGCAAACAACAAGAAAATAGAATGGATATTTAACAGGTGCTGGGCCAAGCAAAGCCACCTGGTGTCCCTGGGACAATGCACTGCTCTCAGATTATTTTCAGACTTCTTCCCATATTTTACTTAGCTCCATCACAAAGTAATATCACACCCAGAAAGTCGGCACAAGAGTAATTCAGTAAAAGCTAGAATTTATGTAACCCTTTTCCAAAATTCCCCTATTCTTTCCAGTTCTGAGGGACTCTCCTTCGTCCCTCCACTTCTGCCACCTGCCTGTGAACAGACCTGTTTTCTGAATGCCCTGAGATATTCATGGTGTGAACAGATGAGTCTTTGATTTGGAAGGTGGTGATCTACAGACTTGCAAACAGCAAAACAGTACAGAACTCCAGGGGACTCTGAACACGACCTGCTGAAGTTTTTAATGTAAATAAATGAATAAATTTAGTGACATGAAACTGTACATGAGGATGATAGTGATGGGTGCAGCGTTGGAATTTGACTTAGAATATTTAGGCACAGCAAACTTGCTGTGTTTCTACATGTTACAAACATGGAACAATTGAGATTTAACCCCAGCCTGAAGTATTTTAGTGCCCTATCCCAACAGCAGCAGTCATTACAGTGATGATAACCTGCACTTTGCAAGAGCATCAGCCCACGGTTACCAAAGGCACACCAACAGACTGCTGGAAAATGTATTCCATTTGAATAAATTCCTCAAAAGGCAGGTTTTGGAAAAATGTGTGCTTGTGGCTGGAAGTCCTGTGGGTTCCCTGCTGTATTGACTATAACCTGGATGGCAAAACCTCAGTCTACCAGCACTAGGCACTAACTCCCAGGTATTCTGGGATCTCAGGATTTCAAGCTCCATGGATCCCCACCAGGGTTAATGCCCTTGCTGTCATTATAAACTCCTAGTCCCTGAGTAGGCCATAATTTATAGTTCAGGTGGTGCCATATCTTTAGATACTCAATGCCTTCTTATGGCTTTAGATCCTTTCTTCCCCAATGTTACCCTATGGAAACAGCTGCAATGAAAAGAATCCCCTCCCCACAAAAAAAAACCACGGAAAACAAACCAACCACCAAAACCCATCACAAAAGAAAAACCCCAGATCAACCAACCAACCAACCAAAACAAACAAAAAAAATCAAAACCACAAAACTCCCAACCAACCGACCAAAAAAACACAAAGAATAGAAAAACTCCAACAAAACAAAACAAAAACAAACCCAAAGAAACATATAAATGACCGAACTGAAGTTTGTTTCCACAACTCTGCTGCTGCACCTTGGTTAGCAAACAAATGGCAATGATTATGGATTAGTCAGGTCCAGTCCAACCTGCTGTAGAAATTTCTCTAAACTTGTTTCTACTCACTGGTGATTCCAAGGATATGATCGTAACAGTCAAACGTTAGTAATGGCTGGGGGAGCTCCCTAAGGAAAGTCTTCAGGATAACAGCAGGAATGTGGATATCATGATAGTCATCAAAATTCACGGATTTGCCTAGCAGGCGAAAAAGAAGAAAAAAGTTATACAGTCATATGTTCTAGTTTTTAACTACTGCTTAAATAGTGTTTCACACTACATTTTGAACAGAAAATCTCTTGCCTTTCTGCTGCTGGTAACCCCTGATATTTTATTTTTATATTTTTCATAGAGTTTTATTAATCTTGTTGTAAGAGATTCTCTCTATAAAAACATTTCATAAAGTGGCTTCACAGGGAAGTCAGTGACTTCCACAATTACTCCACTACATTTCATAAATTCTTATGTAAAATTGCATTTCTTTGCCATAACCAGAGACATTGTACTTTGTAACTACAGGAAAGTAGATGTTTATGAAAAAATAGACCGTTTTTGACTACTTTTTTGACTACATTAGCTGCTACAGATTTTGAAGGCTCTGGTGTGACATCACGAGATGACTTGCTATTCAGTAACCATTAAGTGCCTGTTGCTGTCTCTCAGATTTCTGCACTAAGCTCTTATTATTTTATATTACAAATGGTTTTATGATTAATTAATTACAAAAAAGCTGGCATTTCTGCTTCACCAACAAATTCTGCTTCACCAACAATGGTTGATGAGAGCTTACCCTGATTGTAGAGTTTCTGCACGTCCTTGATGGTCTGGATGCTGGCTGACCTTCTGAAGAGGCCCTCTACTTGCAGTCCTGAAAAAAACAAATAATCCAGGCCTCATCTGTAAAAGCTGACTCTCTTTTGTTTTTCTCTTTAGCTTCAACAGAAAACAGAACAGACGGAGAAGATTTGGGAACAAAGATACTCCCCTACACTCACTTCTTGGAAAGAAAATCCTTGAGAACAGAGAGGAGGATCAAATCATGTTTCAGCATTACCTTCAGCACCTTCTTTAATGGGTCTCATAGAAACACTACTACCTTGCCTTAAGCATTTTAGAGTGTCTTGACAACTGTTGTTTTTGTTTAAAAGTAACTTTCAATACCATCTAACGACACAGAAGGATTTACAAACCCACTGTCACTGAGCCCCAAACCACACCTGTAAATCTGCTCTTCTCCTTGCCTTAAACCTTTATCAAGCTGAAGAGGGTGTCTGCAAAGATTTCCCAAGTTCCTTCTTCTGCCAGTGGGTGAGACAAGGCCCTTTAGGCTGTGGCATGTTTCACAGGATCTGTGGCTGGAAGAAATTTCTTTCCTCTTTCCCAGTTCAAGAAATTGGAAGCTGCCATTGGAGCTTAAAGGCACTTTGAGGCAGATCTTTGCTCCTTCCACCTCTGGAAGTCGGTGGGACTCAGCATTCTGCCTGCCCATGGTGTTTTGAAATACCTGATCTTAGTCTTGAGGCACTCCTGAATTCTCTCTCCTGAATCTCCTGGAGGGTATCTAATGCTGTGGACAAACTGAATCTCACTTCAGCTCCAGAAGGAAAATGTCAATAAAATGCATCCAGTCAAGGATCTCATTCAGACCACAGCTTTCAAGGCATGTAATTTATCTGAATTGCTGTGCAAAACAGGATGGGGATAAGAACTTCTCCTTTTCTTGAGACTTGTGGTATTTCTTTCTTTCGAGCTTGGTTAAGTCCTCATTTCCCTCGTTCCCCCTCTCCAGTTTGTGCTGTTCCTCACACCCAGCAGATAACACAATTTCACTCACATGTGGTCAGAACTGGAGATTCCTACTGGAAGCAGAGTGATCTAAAATATCAGCCTGTGCTGGTTTGACAAAACATCAAATTGCTGCAGTTTGGAGAAGGTTGGCAGCCCACCCACTGCCTTGGGAGACTGCTGGACCTTTCTTTATGCGAGTGAGGAAGATCAGATCGACCTCTTAATTTGCCCATGCTTCTCTTTCAGCAGATAAGTAGCCAGATTGAAGCCAGTGTTTGTGTATTCTAACTGAAGTACACATGGATCTGTTTGCATGAGCAAGAATCTTTATGGTGTTCTAGAAAAATTAAGTCATACGTTAACGAAGGATAATCAGTCATTCTTGTGAACTCACCCAGGTTGCAGGTGTATTTTCTTCACAAAAAATTAATAATTAAATTTCTTTGAGTTAAATTAACAGAAAATTCTTTAATGAACCCATTAATTACAGACCAGAATTTAATATTATGTACATGAATTTATAGAATACTAGAAGAGTTGATAATGTGCCATATTAAAATACATTTTCATAGCCAAGTTTCAGAGACTTCTGCCAAAAACCCAAGCACTTGAAAGTGCTCTACTTGAAAGTGCTCCACAGACTAGATTTAGTCTCAGCTGGAGTTCAGCTGATTACAGCTCCTTGTTACTTCCTAGGAATATGTGGCCTTGCCTGTTAAAATCAGGCTGAACACTAAACCTTTAGCCATGCACTCCGTTCTGGAAGGAGGATGACATCTCAAACTGCAACATCCAAGAGGGACATGTGTGGTTACTAAAGGAACCAAATGGACAATAACCATGATGTATTTGACCCCTTGCTCTATCCTCCATCAGGTTGTGTTTCAGCTGAGTAAAGGTTTAGCAAATAACATCACTGCAGTAAAACTGTTCTGTCAGATTTAGAGTGCAACCTGCCTAAAGACAGTTTTGGAAGTGGCAGCTGTGAACTGCTCGTTGAGGCACTGCCCTCAGCAAAGAAGAAATACAATAATTTCCTGAGAATTTGTGGAATTTTACGCTGCCTGTCAGTGGACGAGAGGTTTTCTGTGGAAACGAGTCTTTCAGAAAATAGACATCATAAATGCCTGCAATTTGGTTTGCAGGAATTGGTTTGATAGTTAATGTTTTTATCTGATGTGAATCTTGCTGTAAGGACTACAGTGCAATAAATATCAATTCTTAACATGTTTATGCCTTTATTGGCTAAGCTTTCAAGAGTCTAATTAAAGACATTAATCTGTGGCACAGACAACAGCTGTACTTGTCTGGCCCTGCATCCCATCAGTGTTACTGTGGTGGCACATAACATCCAGCTGTTCCTGGATATGTTTTTGGAGGGGGGAAAGCAACTTTTATCCTCATCTGCAGAAGTCTGGGATACAGGCACTATCCCTGCTTCTCCCAGAATCCATTTATCAGGTCAGCTGAAACTGGATCAATATGCAGCAATTTGTCTGATCACAGGTGGCAACGAGCCAACCACCAAAGTAGAATATCCCCGGTCCTTCCGACGTTTGTGGGCAACCCAACCAAATGACAGGACACTAATTAAATGTAAGTAAGTGCACTTCTTAGGGAAAAGAAAAAGCTATATTCTGCTTCCAAAGCAAAAGAACCGCAACAGCAAGAATGTCACATATTTTCTTTGTGTGTGTGTAAAAAATGCTTAGACCAGATAATAAGATATTACAGCAATTTTTAAATAGTCAACAGCAATTATGCTCTTAAAGGAGGAAAACAATAAACCTGGGTACAGTGACAGGTCTTTTTGCACTATATTTTTCTGACTTCTGTGGGCAAAATTTCTGTTTCCTTATTTCTGTGATGCGTATGAACTTCTGTGATGCACATGAGCAAAAGACACTTTTTTTTTTAGAAGTCTGTGTTTCTGTTAATTGCTCCCAGTGCTTTCTATGTTTGAGCTGGACAGGGCAAGGCTCCCTAAAAACACGATTAGAATTATGGTCTTCCTCAACCTGAACAGCATTAGCACATGGTCTCATAATAAGGGATGAGAAGGAAGAAAGGGACCTAAAGCCTCTCGTTGGTTATTCACTGTGATGGAAAAGTAAACAGTCTTATACACAGTCAGGAAACACCTTCTCCAACCCTGATTCTTTTCAGCCACTAGTTCTTGAAACTACCAGAACTGAGCTAACACAAGGTGCACACACTAAAATAAAATTAATCACTTTGTCTTCTTCTTGCAGAGAAAACATGTGTCAGAGCCACCAGAGTTACAGGATGAGGGAACAAAATTGGCTGAAGGCAATCCTGGGCATTACAGCTCAAAGCACCCATTTTTGCCCTTTCAAGGAATAATTTTGAAATACAGTCTATTTAATTTTTGTTAGCAGCATTCTTTGACCAAACCCGGTTTACAGCATGGCTCCTGTCAGCTGGCTCTGTAAAAAGAATTTGTTTTTTTTTCTTTGTGTGTGTACAGGTTGAGCTATTTTGCCATGAATGGTATGGTAAAACCTTCCATAGGGAATAGCCACCCTGGAGCAGCAGTGCCTGCCAGAACACTGTGAGGGGGTGACAGACAAGAGCAGATGTGATAAACACACACCTGCACGTCACTCACCATTCCATCAACGCTGCAGAGCCCCTGCTGAGATCTCAGAATCACAGAACATTCTCAGCTGGAGGAGACCCACAAGGAACATAGAGCCCAACTCGTCAGTGAATGGCCCATACAGGGATTAATGACTCAGCACAAACTCCTCCCTGTCCCTTCCCCCAAAAATATAGATACATATAGAGATCCACGGGCTTTTGCTACCCTGCACTAAACTCTCCAGACCGAAAAGAGTGGAATTTTATCCTAAATATTAAGTGCTATGTGGAAAAACAGTATGTGAGTAGTGAAGGAGCCATCTGTGCTCAATGAAAAGGGATGCTGCGATTGAGAACTTAACTGAGTAATTATTGAAATGTCAGTAATCACAAATGAAAACAGGCAGGCACTTCATTCCACATTGAAATATGATGGCTTTTACTACAGCAGACAAAATTTCACAGTGCCATGACACAACTGTGTCACACTCTGCATTAATAAACTGTTGCTAAAAATACTTAACCCCCCTTCTATCCCCTCCCCAATCAGTTGTCCCACGGGAAAGACACAGAAAATCAAAACTGATAAAGATAAATTAAAGCAACACATGCTGTCACATTGCTGCAACTTGTCAGAGAAAGAGCGACGAGAAAATTACATTCTTTTTCTTTCAATCATCCTTGATTTGAGGGTTGCTGGCATCAAAAACCTTTGTTAATTTGTCTGCTTTCAGAAGAGAAATGGCAAAGAGTGAGCATCTGAATTCCTTCTGTCCCAAATTCAGTTTGGAAATGTTTCTTTAGACTGGGGTCCTGCCAAGTCTTAGGAAGTGTCCATCCTGATTTGGAAGTGGTTTTCATTCTCATTAATACAACCAATTTAGACATCTTCTTGCAGATGACCTAATTGTAGTAAGATTCATTTTTAAAAATTAGAACTGATTTATTTCGAATAGAAGGGCTGCAGAGTTTCTATCTCTGAAATGCCCAAAGCAGCATTAACTTCTACGCTTCAGACAAATTTGAGATTTCTTTTTTTTCCAGCTGGAACACAGCACAGGTTTGAGGAGGAGGTCACACAGCCTTCCTTTCCCTGGTACTCTGTGCAGTGAATACAGAACAGGTGAGTGTGATGCCTGCAGTTTGCAGAGGTGATTTGCACTGCAGAAAGCGCACAGCAGATCGAGGGCAGAGGGGAAGGGAAGGGACACTTCCAGCCCTACTGAACATCTGAGCAGCAGCAGCAGCAAGGATGGACAGCTGTGAATCCTCCTCAGAATCCACAGTGCATTGGTGTCCTTGCAGTTTCAAACAGCACAGCCTCCAGCCTTAGAATTTATGAATGAATATTCTCAGTTTACACTTGGCACCTCTGAAAATAATTTATTTACAATGCCTGAGCACCAGAAACAGAAACTGTGCTTATTACAAGGCTCATTTTTACTCGATGGCACACAAACCGGTCTTGGGATTTATCTC